GGTTATTGATGACAAATTTATTACTAACGTAAATAATTAAACTAAAAATTGTTTTACGGTTTTACGGCATCTGTACTTAAATAAAGAAATACTTGACTTTGAAGGAAATAACTACTACTACCATTTCTAGATTCAGTTCCAGATGAAAGTCTACAAAATTTCAAAATTCATGAGATTGATTTTCATTTTATATGAAAATATGATCATATTATTTCATGTTTTGACGAGCGGAATTGATTGACTGTTGGAAAGTTATACAAATTTCATTCATTATGCTATGTTCACAGACTCCTACATACTTCAGTTCCTTCATGTTTGAAAAATGAACTGTTATCTCGTAAGCATATACACTCACGAAATATTCGGTTCACTGCCACTCTAACTATGCCTCTTCAAATAACTTCAATATTTCATAAATGCTTTACCTATAATATGATAAATCTATACAGGGTGATTTACAAGTCGTGACCAAAAATGAAACATCATACACAGTACCGCATTTTAGGGGGGGTCTTCCATGTAACATTGTTTCTTCGAGTACTTCATTGAAAAACAATTTCTTTAATATCTTCAAAACTGTCAACTTGAATGAATTAAAATTTCGTATGTGGATAAAGTTAAATGTTGTCCGCATTCAAGAGTCTGTACTTGAAATTAACCGGAACCAGTGGCGGAGATACCGGGGATTAGTGGCATTACTTTTGAAAAGAAAAATAATACGCGACTGTTTTTTTTAGAAACGAGCAATTTTTCGAATTTTACCTTCAATTTGCTACAAATAATTACTCTTGTGTTTTTTCCTATTTTTATTGTTATTATTATTATTGTTACTAAGTGGTGGAATAGCTTTTGTCTGAACTTCGCTCTAAATAAAAGTGATTATTATTATTTTGAAAATCATCCCAGTAGCGGTGGAGTTAAGAGCGAAAAACAAAACGTTTAAGAGCGTTCCCAAACTTCTTTTTGAGAAATAAACGTTTTTTACATTATGTGTACATTTATTGCGATCAAACAGTTCAACTATTCGTCATCATTCGTCAGAGCGGTCCGGTGGACCTTTAGTCTTAGTTAAAAGTCTCGTCGGTCTGTTAGTCTGTCAGGTCTGGCTACCCAGATACCAAACATGTTTAAGGGGAAAAGGGAAAGAAGGAAATAAAGGAAGGACGAAATAGAGCAAAGAAAAGAAGTAAATCATTTGAAATAGCTTAAGAATTATTGCTTTGACTACTCGTATTATTTTGTAACTCCAAAAAATAATTTTGATTGGTTTTGTATACTGAAATAATTTTGGCTGGTCTGAATTTACAATTTAATTTTGATCACAGTGCGAGGCGCGGCATAGAATGTTTGCGAACTTGCTCGACTGTGTAGTCTACTGCAACAGAGGGTTGCTGTGCGATTCCGCTTGATTATAACGCTGGTGCGCCTGTTCTTTCACGTAATCCCTTAGATATGGGATATAAAGGTCTCTGTGAATAGTCTCATTTGACACGTACCAAGTGGCGTTTGTGATTGTGCGTAGGGTTCTATTTTGCAGGACTTGCAGTGTCTGCATGTGCAAGAAAACACCAAGCCGCGCATGCATAGGTGATTACGGGTCTTATGACCATTTTATACAACCGAATCTTGTTGATCAAACTTTTCTGAACAACAAAGGATAAAGCTGCCGAAAGGTAATTTGGAATCTTGTTGTCAAAATATCGGTATGTTTCTGCCATTTCAACCCCTTGTCAATGATGGATCAAACAGTTTTTCGCACTTACACATCTAAGATATATGTTTTCAAAAATTATCACCAATGATCCGAAATAGTGTTTCTGAAGTTGCAACAAAGTAATATAGAAAAAAATATAAACTATCATACGTATACCGCTGGTTCCTTGTTTGCAAGCTTACACTGTTACTTGATCGATATATAAGTACACATAACGTGAAAAAACATTTATTTCTCCAAATTTAAAAAATAATAGCAAAAAAGGAGCTTTGTCAATTTGAACCTAAGTCCTGCGGTTCAGAAATCGCCGTTCTCTCCCATTACGCTACGACGCCTCTGGGTTTACTAGATCTTTATACCACTACACTTGACCCTGATAAATGTCAAGCAAACTTCGATGGCATATCAAATATGATATAAACAATTAGAATACTCTTGAAAACTATACAAGATACAATGCTGAAACTTCAAATAATGTATTAGGGACTAATACCGAGCATTTTGCCTAATTTTGAAGACGGTCAGCTCGCTACAACTGTTATCTGTCTACTGTTCTTTCGTTTTCTCGAGTTTATTTTCCAATATTTTGAACTAGCAGAATACTATACTATACCTTTTAGAAAAAAGGTCCAGGGAATTCTATTTCTTCGTAAAGAAACTGGATTACGCTCAACTAACAATTATCACTCCTATTAGAGTTGCAAGAATGATTATACAGTATTCCTTACACAGCATTGTATACTGTAAGAACATTGGCAAAACCCTCTTAGAACAGCTATACAAGCGGAATGGGCACACCTAATAGGACACTTCAGACATTTAAGAGGTTGTATAAGGGCTGCAGGTAACAGTTATACAACAAAAGTGTAAGCCTCTTGCAGCCGCTATAGGACATTTGCGTCAGTGCAAGATTCAGTTTTTGTTAACTATACAACTATTATGTTACGTGATTCTACTTTATTGCAACCAAGCTATTTCTTATGTATTGTATAGACGAAGTGAAGAATATATAACTAACACAATACAGTCATCTTGTTTACTTACATATCGGCCATTGTGAATTTCATACCCAGGTATATGATAGACTTCTACGCTGTGATTTGAATTACTTGCGCAGCAAATTTTATTGTGATTATCGTGCAAAGTAGTTACGCAATTTCTACGGGCTTCGTATTTGATTCATATTTTGATAATGATCAAAAGTATGTCTAGATTTTTAAGATGGAAAACTGAACTTATCTGCGTTAAATCTTCCACAAATAATATATTTAGACACAACTACACTAATGTTTATCACTTTATATCTGTAATTTCGAACTGAAACATAATTATTTAATATCAAATAGAGGAATAAATGTTTGCCCAATATGGCGGGTGGTTGTGTATAATCATGGCATCGTCCATATTGTATTTAGCTTATTAGAATATTTTGATGTTGCCTGCAGGTGTTATACAACAATTTGACAAATGTCAGAAATGAAATACCGACAGAGTCGAATGATTTACCTAGAATTTGTACCAGATCTATATCTTCTGTTTGAACAGTTGATAAAACCTTTTTAACCAATATGCATGCGTTGTTTGTCTTAAAACACTGGTTATGGCATTTTAACAAAAATATGACAGCAGAAAGTTAGGTTATGGTGAAGTTGTTTACCAACATATTTAGCATATGTACAGCCTCTAACAGTTACTAAACAACAGTTGTATAAGTGCTTCCGTTGGGAGCAATTTGTTGGCTAAAGTAGTAAATTTGCACAGCAAAGCAACAGGCTCGGGTTTGTTTTATAAACGTTACCATGGATGCCACAACACAACCATTTTGACTAACCTGAAAATATGCCGTATAAAATAGTTGTATAAACGTTTATGTAACAGCTAAAAATTTTTCCTATAAGGTGTTGTGTAACTATGTTATAAGAATATTTTAAACACCTCATTTTAGAGCAAATATGTTGCAGAAAGCAAATTTGCATTCCACACAACATTAAGCCAGCATTTTGGTGGTCAGGCAATAACAATAGAGAGCTTTTATGGCTGAACAGTTCTTTTACCAAAAGCTTATAGCACTACTTTGCTAGTTGCGCGTAACCTGCTTATTTGACAAAGTCATCAATAATGCAGTGTAAAAATTTCAGCTCTAAATATGTATACACAAGAGTATGAAAAAATCTCGAAAAAAATTGTTTTCTTTGCAACAAAAGGTGACGGACACATCCGCTTTAGTTTAAGATGTGTATATTGAGGTATGTTTTTAGAATATCATACCGAATCTCTTCAATTAAAAGCAACTACGAAATGCTTCAATTTGTCTAGAAGAAAAAAACGTAGCTCTTCGTTTTTCGCATTAAAACAACAATTATTACCTCTCGGAATGGTTTGTGATTTATGGGTTAAACAAATAAAAATTCTTAAAGACTACTTGACCAGTCAACTCCACTTTTGTTGTAGTTACTGAGAATTATGAAGCCTACGATTTAAAGAATTTGAAGTAGCTGTGTGAAATTAATGTCGCATTATCAGCAAATGTCAAGACCTGGATTTTGCCTCAGTTTTCGGCCATAACTTTTTTACTGTTAGCCTGTAGGTCTCACAAATACCTAACAAACTTATTTGAAGAGTTTCTGCCAACACTTTCGGTTGAATTCCAAGAAACACGTTTTCTCATTTTTTGTTGTCGAATGAAAGTTTTCCCACAAAAAATGGTGTACTCATTTTATGCGTCCATGCCCCCTTGAATAACTTGCATTATTAAACCAGACTTTACAATTATTTCGGGGAAATTTGCTAATACGATTAAACTATATAGATAAAATCAAGTACAATGCAAACAGCAATGGACTCAACTTTGATTCAAATTCAAAATAATTTATTGATTCAGTTAGATCTACATTGTAGACATTGGACAACTCGGTGTATACAGATACAGGGATAGATAAAATAAAGTACATTGCTAATAACAATGGTAATATAAGGACAGTGTAATGCATACATAGGTCGCAATTTACCGTTTAATAAGATTTGTCAGAAACATTGTGGTACGTGACAAATTCATTCGTCATAAAAGTCATATTCCAATAGCCTTTTCTGCAAACGTACCTTAAAAAGTTTTATGTAACGCCCCTTAACGCTTTTAATCTCTTTTGGTAATAACTTGAAAAATTATATTCATGCCGAGATTTCAATGGAAATTATGTTAAGACGTAGGCCTAACATTTTCTGTGCTGAAAAATATGTGTTAAAAACTTGTAAAGGGAGATGCATGTCAGTATCTTGTGTCTAACAAATACCACAGGCAAGAAGACTCAGACTGTGTATTTTAAATATAATTCCTAGGTATCATGCAATAATGCCAGATCAAATGAGTAAACGCGCGCATAGTAGTCGTGTTTAGTGCTGAACTGCTGAGGTATTTGATATCCTCCCCAGCTCAGGAATTAGATAAAAAATGTACAACCTTCTACATGGAAAGTATTGTTGGAACACAGTCTCCCCCATTCGTAGTCCATTCACGTCCAGACAAAAAACAACATGTCCAAAAGTAGACTGTACAGGTCCGTATTTTTCTCAATGGTATTAGAATACTTTAACAAAATGAATGATTATTTTTATAGGTGCACATACCTTTCACAATTCTTTATTCACTGGAAGTACTTGAATCATCGTCCAAATGGTTAATATTAATTATTATAGGTTCAATTTGAATATTGATTATATTGTCCAGATCCCACATATTTGTTTCGATTAAATAGGTACATAACAAGTTTTTCACGTCAGAAAATTTAAATGTTCTATTGTTTAAAGCCATATAGTTTTTTATATTTGCCCAAATTATTTCAATATGATTTAATTCCCAGTGATAAGGGGGTATTATTTTGGTTTTTAGCCATTTCGTCAATAATATTGGGCTTATATTTATATTTGTGCTACCTGACTAGATGGACAAGTTCTGCTTCGTTCATATTTTCATTGAAACTAGTGTCTTTTGATAGGAGCCATTGTTGAATTTTTGCCTTGCTTGTGGACATTTTCCGAATTTTTTCTAGTTTTCTAGTGAGGCATGCAGCATTATTGTCAAGTATAATGACGGCGTTGTCGTCAAGCTTTGGGAGCGTTTCTTCAAACCATCGTTCAAATGAACTCCCGTCCATTTCTTCATGGTAGTCTGTCGTTTTCTTTGACTCAAATGCCCATAGGGCAGTGGGCACAAGGCCATCTTTACCGCCAATGTGATAACAGATCGTTTCTCTTTTCCTGGAAATAATTATATCATATAGTATTCAAGAAAAATAATAATAATACAAGCCTCTGCTTGTATTATTATTAGTTATTATCTAACAGGTGTTGGTTACAAATCTATTAGATATAGCTAAGTTTAGTGTACTTGACCATGTTCACAACATAAATGACGAGTTGGTTAAATACACGTACCTGATGGATTCCTTAGGCCAGTGGTTAGTCCATCTAAGAAGGCTTGTCTTGCTGATTTAATTGTAAAGTCAGCCAATGCTTTAAGTTTTGTATGTCCTGCATTTATCTAGGTTTCATCCAAGTAATAAATCTTCCTGCCTTGGTCGCGGTATTTCTTTTAATTTTAAATTTAAATTTAAATAATTTCTTCTACATAAAATAATCTTTTGGTTGTTCATTAAAATACTATTTCTGTCCCGTTTCCTATATGCAAAATAAAGTTATTTGAGTAATTTATAGAATGTGGACCTCTTGAAAGTAGGTCAGTAGGGAGTCAATAAAACAGGTATATTCATTATCAGTGCCGGGCGATGGTCATCCTGGGAAACCATCATGAAAGATTGAGCAAGAAAAATGCGAAATGGCTAGATCTAGTAGACAATTCAATCGATTTTGAACATTGTTATATGGACGCAGGTTGAATAGTGCTAGGTAGTTTTCAATAATATAGGTCTTAGCGTCAACCGGATCGTTTTCTATAAAACGTGGCATATTAAAGTCACCTAAAAGTATTGAGCTGTTAGAGTTCAGGTAATCAAGTTGTTCTAAGCGCTCAAAAACAATTCAAATCCCTCAACACCTATTTTGTCAGGAATGTATAGAGTTACCACATAAAACTTTTTAGATTCTAAACTACACTTAACAATTAACAAGTCAATGGATGAAAATTGCAAGTCAAAAGCAGTCACATCGAAAACTTCAGAATTTATCCTTGACAGCTAACAAAACACCATCAGATTGTTTACCTATTCTGCTAAACTTAAGGTCTTTTTTATAGACACTGTAAACATTGGAAATACCATCACTGAGCCACGTTTCACTTAACGCTATAATGTCAAATTCACACTCACTTGCTGACGAGTAGAAAACATCCACCTTGCTGTTTAAACCACGCACGTTCTGATAATATATGTATAGTGAGCGATCTTTTCATTTCACTACAACTGTTGGAACTAGTCAGTTTAAATCCCTGACTAGCTTAGGATTTTCGTTAACATACCTGATTTTATACTTTTACGTTCTTTGTCTTTAGTTCATCCTGCAGCACCTTATAGCGTTCAATCTGTTTACGAGAGGGGTCGAAGGAAAGTGATACATGTTTGAAGGTGCTACTCTTTAGCATTTCTCATGATGCAAGTAACTTCACCTTTATTTTGTAAAGTTATCTTTATAGGACGCCTTTCACCTTGATCAAAGCGACCAAGTCTAATATAGGTTTTAGATCCTGCACCTGAACATTGGCTTTAACCACCTTCGAGATATCCAGCACTTGAGACTTATCTTTCTCTGCTCGAGATTCCTTTCATCCATTTCTTCGATGATCTCCTCAACAGAATCCCCAGCAAGAGGCTTAAATGTCTTCTGGAAGATTAAGTTTTTCAAATCATTAATTTGATTATTGATGTTTCTGCAACAAGTGCACGACGAAGCGTAGCCTTTGCTTTCATCATTCAATATGTTAATCTCATCAACTGTTAAATTCACACATGAATGTTTGTATGCCTTTGTGCCTATTGCACACCTCATCATCATGTTTGGTTTATATCGTTTATTACAACACGCACAAATGATATTAAAAGAAGGTATGATTCAGTGTGAAAGAACCGTGAAATGTGATGTTGACAATGGAAAGGATTAACTCAGCAAAAAAAAAAAACGTAAGCAATGCAGAAATATTAGAAATTTCGCGTTACCCTCACGTATATGCTAAATGCCAGATCTTCAAAAACACTTGAGACACAGTCAAAAGACTGAATTTCAGTTTTAAAGTTGTCAAATTAGGAACTAGGATCTTAGATTGTTGACTGAAGGAAGCATTGGGAGAAAAATTCTAAGTTTCATCTACTGTATCCGTAGACGACATACTACCGTATAAACACATATTATGTATGCACCGAATATGAACAGCAACTGTCGATGTCGGCATGCCGGCGAAACCCCGAGCCTGAGTTCTGTTCTATCGAATCCTTCACTTGTTCGTAGTTTTACGGCCTAATGACCAATAGCTATTGCAACCCTTAGACGGCTGCCGCTTTTCCGCGCTGAATCTTTGTTGTGCCGGGGCGTAAATGAACCACGAATAGTGTATAGGTCATACATTTTTATTAATGAGTTTGACTTTGCTTAGTGGTAGCAACCTCAAAAACAGGCAGCATGTTTTTGTTTCATAATTTCGACGTGCAACATACCCTGATTTATTTTAAACACTCATTTGAGTTGTACCCATGTATCAATTAATTCCACCCTCTAATAGTCGCACGACATAATAGGTAGGAAGCATTAATCATTCGGCTCATTATTCAACCGATATTAACCCCCAAAATCCCGTCATACCAAAATAATATTTGTCCCCGTCATGTACTCGTGTCTAATAATGGCGTTTACCTGGTCCCGTTGGTTGACGCCAATTTATGAGCTGTCAGACTTTGACGTGGACGATGCGCACATTAGCTAGAGTTTCCTAGTTTCACTCGGCGCGGAGTTAAGATGCATGCATACAGGGCCTACCGCTGAGCTGAGAGAAAAGATCTTCCTGATGTTTGAGTCTACTAAGAATTGGGATGTTTCACAGACATAAAGGGACATGAAGTATGAAGCGATTTGTATTTTATTTAAAGCGTCGCCAAATTCCCGCATTAACATTGTAGTCTCCAATTATATACATGTGTTCATTAGAGAACTTTCCACCGCGGATTTAGCGAAAACCGCTGATTGAAAAAAAAACGCCGTGTCACGTCAAAAGATTTGTCAAGGGGGACAACCTGTTACTCAAAAACTACTTCACCTCCTTTCACCATCGTCCCCCAGGGTCATTTCCTCAAACATTTTGACAAGGAGTATGGAGTAACAGATTATTTGAAAGCTCTTCCGAAGTTCTTTATTTTAACGTTTGATTTTTGAAATCAGTCGATTCGTTTTCGAGAAAATTAGAAAAAGCTTTACTCATCCTAATTTGTTCAGATAGAAAGCAAAAACACACGCAAATATCACTTTTTGTTTTAATAAGAGTTCAAAATGTGGCCAGTTAGGGTTTGCCAAATCTACAACTCGTTTATAATTTAAAACGGAAACTACCAACATAAACAAAAATTCGGAAGGTTGGGCGTGGCAACGACCAAATAACAACCCGAATTTTTTTCCGTTATTCTCTTCATCAACAGAGATATCCTGGGCGAACTGTATTTGTTGTTATACCTGTTCAGTTATTTGTTGCTAAGCGAAAGAAAGAATTCAATTTGCTGTCAGTTACCTCTGTCGCTCAAATCCTGACGTGCAATTCTGTTTTCCGTCTGAACATAGTACGGAGCTACAGGCGGTTAGGCTGGTGGAACGAGTAACCAGAGGATTTACCCTTAACGAAAGTACTGGCATCTTGCTTTATTGTGTCTCAAAAGCATTTTACAAGATGTGGTACGCGGGCCTCCTTTTTGGCTTCTAAAACTACTGAAATCCTTCCTTAAAGGTAGGAAATTTCGGATCAAAACTGACAATGTCCTGTCGACAACACGGCTGATTACAGCCGGCGTACCTCAGGGTTCGGTCCTTGGACCTATCCTTTACTCAATGTACATCCATTATATCCCTAGTCCCAGCCACTGTGAAGTCTATCTCTATGCTGACGATACTGCATTGGTGGCTCAGTCGTGGTCTGGTTACCAAGTCCATGACAGGCTGCAAAGTGCGGTGGAGGAAGTATTAGGTTGGACGGATCGGTGGCTAATTAAAATTAATACTTCGGCAACGCAGGCAATCTACTGTACAAAAAGACGTCGCGGCGTTCCGTCTGAAGTTTCAATGAATGGACTTCGTTCCTCACTGTGTCCTTCTGGTTCGGCAATGGCTAGACGACGAGTTTGCAGATAAATGGATAGGGTGAAGAGGGCCTATAGAATGGCCTGCCATGATATCCCACAACATGTTTTTGAAAATTTCCGTCAGGAATTTGAATATCGCCTATATCATTGTTTGGACAAGAACGGGCAACAGTTTGAACATTTTTTGAAAGAAAAAGTGATATGCCCGGGTATTTTTATCTTCTAAGCAAATTAAGAGGAATAAAGATTTTTCTAATTTTCTTGGAAACGAATCGACCGATTTTAAAAAATAGAACGTCAAAATAAAGGACTTCGAAAGACCCTTCAAACAAGTTTTTACTCAATTCCTCTTCTCATTTAAAATTCTTAAGGAAATGACCCTGGCTGGCAGAGGGTGAAAGGGGGTGAAGTAGTTTTTGGTTGAGAGGTGGTCCCCCTTGACAAATCCTTTGGCGTGTCTCGGCGTTTTTTCTTTTAATCAGTGGTTTTCGATAAATCCGTGGTGGGAGGTTTTTGAATGAACTAAGCTTGTGGAAAAAATTGTCAGTCAGGCAGTGATTATACAGTGTTTTCGATAAGGTTCACCCATAAAAGTATTTTTTGGACGGACCAAGTTACAACACTCAAATTGAGTCTGACAAAATTAGTGCATTGTATTATCTCTATTCGTCATTATCTGTCACAGCGATCTGTAGGATCTTTGCTTTTGGTTAAGGTATGTAAGTTAGTAGCTCTGTCTTTTGTGGTAGCTCAGATAAGAAGAAAGAAAGGAAGGAAGGAGAGAGCGAGAGCAAAGAAGAAATAAGTGCGACAAATTAAAGGTTCCCTTGGCATTGCTAACTAGTTTGTATTCGGGAGTTTTAAATAAATCCTTAAAGTGGCACGATTTAATTTTGTTCACAGTGCGAGCCGCGGACTTGTGTGCTTGCTAACTTGCTCGACTGTAGTCTACTGAGTACCTTTAGATAAGGGATGTTAAGCTCTCTGTCAAGGGTCACCTTGGAGCTTAGGCTTGGGCAACACGTACAACTACAAAACGAGGGTACTGCTGCATCTTGTAGAACTTCCGATTTTACTTTCACTTGAAACTTATAGAGGGTAGTCTGATTATCTTAAATCGGAAACAGTGTGGATGAAGCACGCTTTTCATGATTTCATTTTCCCAAAATACTGTATTTTTAGCAGTTATTTACCCCATTATTTACACCGCCAACTGCCATATGTCGTTGACGTCTGTGCATATGTCATATATAAGAGGCGCTTGCACGCGGTGTTGCCGGATTGGGCTCCGCATTTATGGAAAATATGAAAAGTGGAAAATTTTTATACATTTATATTAATTAATGGATCACAATAACAAAAAAATGAAACAAACAACAATAGCAAAATAAAGGCCTAATAAATTGAAACAAAAAATAACATTAGTAAGCTGAAAAATGATAAATTGTAAATAATTATAAAAAACAAAAAATAAAAACAGTAGTAAAACAAAAAAAACATTCCATTCCATGTAAATATAAAAAGCAAAAAATAATAAACAGTAAAATAAAATGCAATTCTAAGTGATAACAAAAAATAATAACAGTAGTAAAACAAAAAAGTCCATGTAATTATAAACACAACACAACAAAAAATAAACAACACAAAACAAAAAGTAGAAACAGTAGTAAAACGAAAAACAATTCCATTCCAGCCAAATTGCTTTTTATTTTACTGTTTGTTATTTTTTGTTTTTTAAAATTACATGGAATTGTTTTTTTTTGTTTTACTACAGTTTTAATTTTTTGTTTTTATAATCCCATGGAATTGATTTTTATTTTACTGCTGCTTGTTATTTTTTATAATTTAAAATTTATTGTTTTTTTTAGCTTATTACTGTTATTTTTTGTTTTTTGCTACTGTTGTTTATTTCAGTTTTTTGCTTTCGTGTTTCATTAAAAATGTATATAAATTTTCCACTTTTCATATTTTTCCCTTAATAGGGAGCCCAATCTGGCATCACCGCAGGTAAACGTCTCTCGTATATGACATATCCACAGACGTCAACGTCATATGGCAGATGACGGTGGAAATAATGGGACAAAAATACAGTGCTTGTGGAAAAAAAATCATGAAAAGCGTGACTCATCCACACTTTTTTTGATTTAAAATAATCTATCAGACTTCCCTCTATGAAATTCAAGTAGAAAAACAGTGAAATCCGAAGTTCTACAAGCCGCCACAGTACCCAAAATGAGTTCCCATCAGCTAGTGCTAAATTAACATCTTGTAAAAAACCTACATAAAATCACAAACAAACCATATCATGTCATAATGCAGTAAATTGTATAAAAAGATGATCGACGCCTGCTCTCTGCGCTTCTCCAAAGAAGGATCACCAAATCTATTCAAAAATAGTGAGTAGTATTATCCTCTTGAAGGATAGACACCATCACACCATCACCCCTGTAGCATAGATATTTTAGAAATGTCTTTTGCACTTTTTCAGTATTATTTTTGTACAGTTCATAGATAGGGCTCCAAATAATTGCACGGTATTCTAATTTACTTATGCACTTAAGCACTGAAAATAACTTAATAACCGTTGTGATATTGAAATTTCTATAATTTCTGATAATAGCCATATATGCGACACGCATTACTTAAAGTGTGAGCTGACAATCGAAATATACGCCCAAATCGTTGAAAGTTCCTTTTCAACACAAACATTTATTTTGCATGGTAAGTAAAAAAATTGACCTTCCGGGTGAAGATGCGGCATTTAGAGCTGTTCTAATACAAATTGCTATTGATACAACATATTTGTAAAACTATTATAGGTTTTTGGATGTTTTAACAATCTTGCCAGCTAGAAACAGCACAGGTCATCAGCAAACATAAGCTCGTTGCTTGACAATGAACTGCAAAGATCGTTGACGTTCGAGGTTTGTTCAAAAAGTATCGCGGATTTTGAATTTTCGCGGGCTACGTATGTTCGATATTCGATCTTTTTGTGGCGTTATGCTGGTACTCATGCTCCTCACTAATGTTGATAGTATCGGCCATTTTGAATGTTCAGTCAGTTTGTGACAGCTTTTGTGCGTTCACGTGTTTTAGCTTGTCTCCGATTTTTGTCTATTCCAAAAATGGATCGAAGAATTTGTATTCAAGGCGAAGCTACTTTGGACAAAAGCAACGTTTATCGGTGGTACAAAAAGTTCTCAGAGGGCCGAGAAGTGACCGACGAAAAGCGTTCCGGACGCCCAAGCACGTCAACAACAGACGAAAACATTGATGAGTCCCTGCCGCAGGGTAGAACGGTCAATAGGGAATATTACCTTCAAGTAATGCGCAATTTGCGAGCAGCAATCCGCCAGAAACGCCCGGATTTGTGGAAGAAGAAAAATTGCCTTTTGCACCATGATAGTGCCCCTGCTAATGCATCGGTATTTGTGCGCGAACTTCTGGCCAAAAACAACACTCCAATAATGCCTCACCGACCGTATTCCCCAGACCTGGCCCCCTATGACTTTCTCTTGCTCCCGAAACTGAAGAGGCCCATGAAAGGACGACGCTACGCCACGACCGAGAAGATAAAGACGGCATCCAAAGAGGAACTGAACAAGATCACAAAAAAATATTTTTTAAGGATTGGAAAAAAATTTATCACAAGTGTATAATGTCTAATGGGGATTACTTTGAATGGGACAAAATAGATATTCATGATTAAATAAATAATTCTTGAAAAAACATGAAATTCGCGATACTCTTTGAACAAACCTCGTATAAGGCAAACAACAGGATACACCACTACTAGACATGTATGTGCAAGAACTACAATCATTATAGATTACATATTGCGTTCTCAAGAAGAGATAAGAGTTGAGAAGGTTCACGTAAGTTTTGTTATATCCTATGTGTTCAATTGTTAGCGTGATGAAGAAAGGATGACTGGACAGGCCAAGAGCCACACGGTTTATATGCGTCGAATACGCTGGCTACTGGAGAAAGGCAAGGAATCTCTCACATTTTGGTGGGAGTTTTCAACACCTAATAATGAAAATCCCAGCTGCTCTATGTGCTAGAAGACGAATGGACCAGGATTTTGTAGGCTTTTGCCCAGCATATCCTAGTCTAACAAGGGGAGAGCAGGACCTTGGGATTTTATTATGAGATGAAGCTTCGCGTAATAATTGTTCTCTTTCACTCCTCTGAATGGTAACGAAGAACGCTCAATCAAGACGTTTACAAATTTTAATTTAACTCATATACGAGGTCTGTAAATTAAGTGATGAGACTGATCTTTTATTTTTTTTAATCAAATATTATTACCATTTGATATTGTCACCCTCAAAGAAGCCTTCCTTCTGAAGTCACACAAAGCTGGTTGGTTACAGCCGCTTAAATATTTTTCCTTGTTCTAAGTTCCCTTGAGATGATTTTTCAACTTTGGGAAGAGAAAAAAGTCACAAGGACTAAAGTCAGGCGAATAAGGAGGCTCAGGAGCCACAGAAACGTTTTTACTGACCAAAAACTCCTTTATACAATACCCAGTTGTTCTTGATGTGTTGAAAGGTCGTGAGTTATGTTGCTGTCATTTAACACTTTATTAATTGATATAACAATTGCATTGTATTCCTTTTTACTAGCTCATCACTTTTGGTTTATATTAACGATTTTATCTTAATTATGAGTCAGTCATTCAATCTCGGTCCCAGCGAAGACACATACACTGTAATTCCGGTTCGGTCCATGTAAACTATTGTTGGAACCAAATAAAGTTTTTTAAAAACGAAGTTTTAAGTTCCGACTACATAATTGGCGGAGCCCGCAGTAGCATTCCCAAAGGGATTTTCGCCGATTAGCCCTTGAGTCCGAACTCTTAATTGGGAATCACGAACCTCCGTGACGAGCCGGTACGACTGAAGAAAGAAGGAAGAAATTGGACCACAAGTGCCCTTTGTCCTGCTGAAGTCGACGTCCACCTGAGGAACCTAGGCCAAGAACGGGATGAGGTACTGGACCTATCAGTAGGTGCTCATTGTATCCTTATTTTTTCATGAGTGACCCCGACCTGTACATCCTTTCGAAGGTGATAGTGCAGATCAAATCGCTAATCGCATAGCAAGCTTAGAATTAGGAAGTAGAGAAATAAGGCAAGCAAACGAAAGTATAGAAAAGATAATAATGACGAGCCCCAGTAGAAATAGTGCCCCCAGTTCGACATAAAATTACTCCAAATTGTCCCAGAATTTGATGGGAATACCTGTAGACTATATAGATCTTTAGAAATAAGCACAGATTTATTAAATAGCTATTGGAACACTGACGATACAGGATGTGTCCAAAACAAAATACTGCTGCATGGCATTTTCTCGAAACTGACTGGTGCTGCAGAGCAAGTATTTTCTCTTAGCGGTTCCACAGACTGGAATAGCATAAAAAATTTGCTAATTGCTCATTTTGGTGATCAAAGAAACGAGAGTAGTCTTATCTCAGATATGACTGCCCTTAGGCAAAATTCTAATGAGAGGTCTTTACAGTTTTATTCTAGAATGGTAACCATGCTGAATCATTTACATAACTATATAAATATTCATGAAACAGTTGATGCTATTAAAACTAGTAAAAAGGCACTGTATGATAGTCATGCATTGCATACACTTTTAGTAGGTTTAAAGGAGCCACAAAGTTCCATGATTCGGTCGATGAAACCTAAAAATTTTGCAGAAGCTCAAGCTTATATTTTAGAAGATAATAGCATTACATATTTACAAAAGGCTGGTGCACATTCAAATTTAAATAAGCCACCTCAGCCTGCCCTTCCATCCAAACCATATTTTCAAAATTTGTTTAAGCCTCAAATGCAGCCTATGAATCAATTTAGGCCTCAGCAAAATTTCAATTATCAGCCTCAATTCCCACACGATTTCTGACAAAACAGAGTTAGCTTATATTGAAATTAAAAATCCGCCTTTAAAGCTTCTTATTGATACTGGTGCAACGAAATCATTTTTAAATCCTGATCTTGCACAATTGCATTTTCCAAAATGTATTTATAAAGAACCATTCGAAGAGAGACCATTGTGCTAAAATTTCAGCCTTGTCAGAACTCAATGTTAGTGAGCCTATAAAATTTCATTTGTTCAAATTTCACGAGTATTTTGATGATTGGTTTAGATATTTTGGAACTTCTAAATTCAAATATTGACCTTAGAAATTCTATTTTGCATACCAAAAACGCCAAAATTCCAATCAAATTTCAGGATTTGAAAAATCGTTTGTTATTTTTCATAGAAATTGAGCCCTACACGGCGGCCCAAGCCAAAATTCCTGTCGATACTTATAATGGAGAAATTTTGATTCCTAATTCCAAAATTAGAGATTGTGTAATCAAGGAAACGCTTACTCATGCTGTAAACGGTTATACCCTAGTTGACCTAGAAAATCCTAGTAACACTTATCAAGAAACTTCCTTGTATGATCCTATTGTTTCATTTCCGTTCGACGCAAACAATTACGCTTTATTCCACGCTATCATTAAACCATCTGAACCAGTTTCGCCGCTGCGACATGATATCAGCAAACTGATACGAACATCTCATCTCAATAATGAAGAAAAAACTCATTCTAAAATTGTGTCAAACCTACTCCTACGTATTCCATTACGAGGATGATGCGTTAACTTTCACAAACCAAATTAGGCATCATATTAGGACCACAGATGGAATTTCTGTTCATACAAAATCGTATCGTTATCCACACATGATCAAAAACGAAATGCAAAGCCAAATTAGATCTCTTCTAGATCAGAATATTATTCGACATAGTAGTTCAGCTTGGAATTCTCCAGTTTTTCTCATTCCCAGAAAACCTGATGCTAGTGGTAAAAAGGAATGGCGTATAATGTAGTAGTCTTCATACGGTTCGGTTGTGTTTAACCTGTGTCTACATTAATCTTTCGAAATCGAGGGCACAAGATCGAACTAAATAGTAAGATCTTACATTACGCCTTTTAAGATGCATATCTGCATGAAACCATCAAGACCTTGGGCAGTAAATGCTCCTTCTGTAATTTAATGCACTATTTTGCTTCGATACCTAGTTCGAGTGATCTTTTGTTGTGATTCTTGGAGAATATAGTATAGAAGATCAGGGTGAAATTACTAACCAGATCCTTAACATCCTACAAGAAATAAGAAGTGATCTTAAAGAGGTAAAGGAATCTCTAGCCACACAGAGGAATAGAATAGACGACATAGACTCTAGAATAAAGGACCTGGAAACAGAAAACGCCGATTTGAAGCAACAGGTTGTTGTTCTTCGAAGAAAGGAACTGAAGAATAACATAATATTATTCGGACTTGAGGAAACACAGAACGAAGATTTGCTAAAGGACATAATAGCATTCTTGCATTCAAATCTTGCACCTACGATTACTGAGTCAGACATTAATAACATCTATCGAATTGGAATAGCAAACAGTAACACAAGTTAGAATTACTTAGGAACATCGTTAAACGAAAAATAATAAAGAGCGCATATAAACTTAAAGGCACAAATATAGCCATTGCAGCGGATTTGATACCTGAGGATAATCAGTTGCAAAAAATTCTACGTAAACACTTGAAGATAGCCAGGGGGCAGAAACAGTCAGCAAAAATACATAAAAATAAGCTTCTAGGTAATGGTGTTGCTTATAGTGCCGAGGAATTAGAACTGGAAGAAGATATTTCGGAACAAGAAGAAGAGGCAAAGACAGCAGAAACGCAAAAACAATCATCTACTACGGCTACTGCGATAGTCTCCACAAGGTCGAAGCGACTGGAAAATAAGGTACAAGGGGAAAAGTATTAATCCCGCCTTCAAAAATAGCGAGAAATCAACGAACAGTTTTTCATTAATGTCACTGCATTTAACTATTGTCAATATTTTTATAGGTGGATGTTTTAAAGTAATTAAACCGAGGTTATTGTATTTCGTAATTGATATTCTTTTATTCTCGATTTTTCATCATAATATTTTAATGTGTTGGAATTTTATAGTAGTAGAATTTCTATTTCTTGCTTACTAGACTAAATATATACTCTAGATTTTATTTTCCTGGTGCTGTTTATGTGTTTTCATCATAGTACATAATATACATTATTTTTTATCTCTTATCTTTTTAGGGTATTTTTGCTTCCTGTTATTGTTTACTTATTATTTTTTGTTTGTAATTTGGAAAATGCCATCGTTCTTGAATGTGGTTCACCTCAATATTAGATCTCTGGTTGCAAATATAGGGATGCTGCGTAGCTATGTTGATGATAATGACATCGATTTCATAGCTTTGAGTGAGTCTTGGTTACATGATCAAATTGACCCTAAATTGATTGACATTGATGGTTACACCCTTTTTCGTGCAGATCGAATTAGTAGAGGTGGGGGCGTTGCAGTATATACAAAAAAATGTTTCCAGAGTAAAATTATCCATATTAATATAACTCCTGCCTTGGGGCAGATCTGGATCTCACTAAAACTTAATCGGAAAACATTCATATTTAGTGTTGTCTATAGCCCCCCTTCTGCTAATGTTGTGGACATGCTTCGCGAATTGGAGTCAGCTGTGGATCTTTTTCTACCAGATAGTGATTTGTTCGCTATAACTGGTGATCTAAATATAAATATTTTAAATCTAGATCGTAAAACCAAGCTGTTGTATGATTTCCTTGAGGCATATAATTTGACACAGCTTATTGAATCTCCTACTAGAATAACCAAATCTACGAGTACATTGATAGATTTGCTCATAGTAGGTGATCCGGATGACTTCACTTCTGTCGATACACTTGATGTTGGTATTTCAGACCATTGTGTTTTGACTTTTAAAATTAATTTCCCTAAGGCGAGTAGATTTGAGAAGTTTTTAAGATACCGCGATTATTCAAAGTTTGACGCAGATTTATTTTATAACGATCTACATTCTGTTATTTGGAGCCTCATCTACACACTACCAGATGTAGACTCTATGGTGGATCATCTTGAAGTATATCTTAAAACTCTCTTTAATCGCCACGCACCTTATCGTCAAGTGAGGGTTAGTAAGCCGCCTGCTCCTTGGCGTACATATAATTTAAAAATAATGTTGTCACTTAGAGATAAAGCTTTTAAAAAATATAAATGTATTAAAAGTACAGCGGCTTACAACGATCGGAAGAGAGAAAGCTGCGTATTTGAGTTATACCCTCACCAAAAGAAATCAAAAATCAACATGGAACTCACTTAGATCTTTGGAGATTCTGCGCGAAAAAAAGTTACCTGAACTACCACCCAAGTTAAAGAATAGCAACACTGTGAACGCATATTTTAATAGCGCCCCAAATCTGGCTAAAAGTCAACTTCAAATTGATATGCTTAGAAAATACGATACCCACGTAATGCAAGCTCATGAAGATTCTTTTAGATTCACAACAGTTAGTTCCCACGCTGTGTTCAAATTTCTTAATAAAATTAAAAGCAATGCTGTAGGCTCGGATAATATTTCGTTACGTATGTTACTATTAGTTTCCTCTGATTTGATAGAGTATATCACGTTTATTTTAAATTTCTCAATCACACCTGGAACATTTCCTCTTGCATGGAAGCATGCTTTGGTGAGGCCAATACCTAAATGTAACTCACCTGATGAGGTCTCTGACCTAAGACCGATTAGTATTCTGCCTACCCTATCAAAACTCCTAGAACTCATCATGAAAGACCAAATGCTTACCTATGCTATTCAAAATAATATTATTACTAGCTTCCAGTCAGGTTTTCGTCCTCATCATAGCACCTCCACGGCTTTAATGAAGATTACGGATGATCTTATTAGAGCAACTGATCAAGGTGATTGCACTTGTCTTGTGTTACTCGACTTCAGCAAAGCTTTCGACACCTTAGACCACGACACGCTTCTCACAAAATTGATATACTTCGGTTTTCCTTATAACTCGGTTCTACTTGTTGAGAGCTACTTAAAAAATCTCACTGAGAGTACAGTTATAGATGATAATTACTCTTCCTCGTTGAATAAGGTTTTCGGTGTTCCACAAGGTTCGGTCTTGGGTCCACTCCTTTTCAGCTTATACACAAGTGACTTTCATGATTTTGTTAATTTTTCTAAGTTACATCACTATGCCGACGATACCCAGATATATATATATATATATATATATATATATATATATATATATATATATATATATATATATCGTTCTCCGCATCCAAAGCTGTTACTGCACAGATTGAACTGAATAAAAATCTCTATATAACATATCTATAGCACATAATTTACAGCTAAATCCGAAGAAATCACAAGTCATGATTTTTGGCAATAAAAATAAAAGACCTAATCTGCATAGCACATTTTCAGTTACTATAGATGATGTATCTTTGCCAATAATCAGTGAAAACAAAAATCTTGGCATATGGCTGGACTCTGATCTAAGATATACAAAACATGTTAGTCACTTGTGCCAAGTCTCCTATAACGTGTTAAGACAACTTTATCCCAGTAGGAGTATATTATCAAAATTCATGAAGGTCAAACTATGTGAAGCTTTGATTTTGTCTAAACTGGCTTACTGTGACTGCATATATGGACCTGCCCTTTTGCAAACAGATATTCTACGCATTCAGCGAATTCAAAATTCTTGCATTAGGTTTGCATATGGTATCCGAAAGTATGACCACATCAGTGAGAGCCTTATGGATTCTGGTTGGTTAACCATGATTAACATAAGAAAACTTCATTTTCTCACATCAGTACACAAGATCGTTACTAGTGGAACACCTACTTATCTATACAATAAACTTACCAGACTGCATGATAATAAAGTAACTCGAAATAAACATCTTTTGGTTATTCCTAAACATTCAACAGTTCTGTTTAAGCGCAGCTTTTCATACAATGCTGCGAAACTGTATAACAGCTTGGCAGTAGATCTCAAGAATCTGAGCTTCCGCAATTTTAAAAAAAGATTGAAAGCTGATCTCCTGCACGACCAAGGGCCTAAAGTATAAGCAAACCTCGCTACGTTTTAAATGATAATTTCCCAGTATGTTTCTTTTTAAGTCGCCTTGTTCTTTTTTGCATGAATTGTGCTCTCATAAAAACTGCATTGGGCATACTCTCATATATTCTGTTTTGTATTGCATATTATCTTTTTTTTTATATAACTCAAATATCTTTCTTCAACGAAAACGTTTTTAAAAAGATTTATTTTTGAGAAAGACCAAATACAATGATGTTAATTGAATGAGTTCTGAATCGAGACTGACTGCAAAGTTCATTATACAAACCAAAGTAAAGAACAAATGAAATACAATACTGTAACTGATAAGAAAGGAACGTGGAGGCAAAAGTCCTTGTTCAGCATATTCTTCTCTGTAGACTGGTACATAACTCCTCCACCCCTAGAATGAAGCTTCCTCTGGAAGGTGAATTTCTTTCTTCTTATATCTTGAACTGGAATCTTCTCTTCTAGTGCGTTTTGTGGGACTTGGACCTTCTTCTTTCATCTCGGCTAATTCAATGTCGATTTCTAACTTGGATGCTTTCTTGTTTCTCCATCTTCTATATAAAATTATGCAGCAGATGCTTGAAAATACGAGATATAGTAATATGGTCCAAATACTGGGTTTTCCAAAATTTTCTATGGAATTCTCTTCTAAAATTGGTAACATGCGATTAACTTGTAATTCTGATAAATTTAACGTTTTCAGAGTAATTTGTGTCTCTGGGATATTTTGTTTCATAAAATGGAAATCCATTTTGTCAGCTACGAGGGGCTTTCCATAGGTTTTGTCTTGAAAGATAATTTCATTGTCTTGGAATGATATTTGGCATTCACTGGCTTTGACTAAGAAAATGCCAAGAAATGATTTTGTATCGATTTGCTCCTTGCATTTAATTTTCAATTTTTCTTCGGTGAGAAATACAGCTAAATACTGGTTAATTTCGGGAATAAATTCAATGTGATTTTCTTCAATCTGAAGCTTCGTGTATCTACATGGTTCTGTATGATCTTCAATAATTATTGACTTCTCGCATTGGGCTTTGTGATTGGCTAATATACGATTAGGGCATTGATAGATTCTACCTTGGGTACAAATCTCGTGCAGGGGTTTGATCTCATTTCGATCAGATTTTAGCAAATACTTATAATTTGGGATAATAGTGACGAATTCTGATTTGTGCATCAGAGTCGGTATAGGTAACATATAATAAAGATCGAAATGTTCAGGATAATCTATAGGAATAGATAGAAAATAACTTATTTGATTCTCATCGATTTTACAACTGATAGAAATAATAGATTCATAATCTAGCATATTTTCATACTTTACTTCAAATGGTAATTCATTTTTATAAAATGTGGATATCTTACGGAGTTCTTGAAATAATTCTCTAGTCCTTATTATACTGGGATGCATGGTTTTCAATTTGCAAAAAGTTATCGAATTTTCGATATCTTGTAAAATATTCAATATGGCATTATAAAGATAATTAATTGATTGATAATGTCCTTCGCTGAAAGAATATCCTGGTTTGTTTTTACTACATAGCCTATGCCATTAAAAAGTCCTCTCTTATTGCGAGTCTTTTGAGAATGAGATTTAATGTATTCGATTTTCTCTTGAATCAAGCTCCTTATATAAGATACTATCTTATTATAATTTTCTAGCTCGTTATTAATCTTAGAATGGTTTCTGTAACTATAGTTAAGATTACTGTATTGAATATTCAAATCTTCATATTCCTTATATAAAAGTGATAGATCATAATAGTGCACAAAAGTATGTTTTGTCTTTTGTAGCCTAGCTGTGCCTAAATTTACTGGCAAAATTCCTAAATTGTTCGTTATGTTTCTTATTTCTGCTCCGCATCCGAAATAGATGAGGTATCTGAAATATTAGTAAATTTAAATTGATAAGTTTTCTTCCCGGGCCTTTTAATATTGGATAAATGGATATTTTTAGAAGTATTGGCATGTGTGGGATCTATCTCCGCTCTTTTTAATTTCTTATCTATACTTATTAATTTTTCTTGCTTATACTTATTTTTAGTTTTCTGTTGCTTCTGCTTATTCTTAACATATACCTTGTTAGGAATATCAGGCAAAACTTCACGTTTCTCATTTGCTTTATTTATAACTTTTTCTTTATTCTGTAATATCTTTTCATTTAAATTCCTATATACTATTTTCATTTTTTCCTTATGATTCTGTAAATAATTATTTAACCTGTTAAGTGGCCCAGGATAAACAACCATAGGCTTTTCTAGATGGCCCGTAATTTTATCGCATGCGGACATATCCGTCATCAGCACTGACTATATTCACTAGCGTATATATACGTCAATAGCATTAAAATTCGACAATAAAACTGAAAGGCGTATATTATCGTCAAAACAACATAAAAATATTGAACTGGTATCTAAAGAAAAGTAAAGGTGAAGGCTAACTTATAACATTGCATTGAAGGTGCACCAGTTTTCTCATTCCATTCTTCATACCTAGTAAGAAGAGTTGCTGTTAAAATGATAGATAAAGAATAAATTAAAACTTACTTATTTTTGTAGCTTTTTTGTTACTTGGTATGGAAAATCTCAAAACACGGTGCGGGACACAGACCAGTATGGCATTTTTGGCACCAGTAACGGCTTTCCTTTCTGATTTTCTTTTCAGCACATATTGCACACCTAAAAAACTGATTTAAAAAAAATGCCTTCTGTGATACAATAGCTTACCTTTTTGTTGGTTTTTGTTTCGTAGTAGGTGGTATAACCGACGGAAAGTGACGTTCAATAAATCTTGATGGCATTGGTGCCCTTGATCTCCTTGTTCCGAAAGTTATTTGTGAGCTATATTTTCTAACTATTTGTTCTCCCAATTCTAACAAGAAATTTATCCTTTTCAGTCGGCCTCCATTTCGTTTGTATATATGAAATGAGTTTAGCGTTGTTACACTCAAAAAGTGCCAGAACATTTTCATGTAGTATTTTTTTACTCTACTCCTTGCCGTTCCATAGTAGTGCAAATAATTATCGGCTAAGTCCACCCCGCCCATTTTTTTATTGTACTCTAGTACACAAGTGGGTTTCTCAATTTCACCCTTTTTAGTTAAGACCTTTTCCATAGTTTTATCGTGAAGGGTAGTTATCATTAACACATCCTTCTTGTCATGCCATTTTTGTATCATAATTTTTCTATTGTATCTAGCAACAGACTGTCCTTTAGATAATTTCACTTGTAAATCTTTAGGGATACCTTTTCTGTTTGCTCGAATTGTTCCCACACAGTCTGTTCTTCGTTTTACTAATTTGTGAACCAAGTCAACACTTGTGTAGTAATTGTCTAGAAAAAGTCGATACCCTTTGTCAAGTAGCGAATCAACAAGGGATAAAACTATCCTTGATGTAACTGGTTCCTGAGAATGCTGTGCTTCATAAATCGTATCAGCACCTGTATAGATGATAAAATTATACATATAACCAGAAGTTTCACATAAAGCGAACAGTTTGATGCCAAACCTCTTTCGTTTAGAAGGTATGTATTGTTTCCAGCCCAATCTCCCTTTCCAGCCAATCAGAGACTCGTCTATCGCGATGTCCCTTTCTGGCACATAACTGGTCATAAATTTCTCCCTTAAAAGGTTTAGAAGTGGAAGTACTTTGGCAAGTTTGCGATTTTTTGTGTTGGCATTTATTGTTGAATTATCAACAAAATGCAAAAATTTCAATAACAAGTGAAATCTTTTCTCGGAAATAATTTTCGAAAAAAATGGAGTTTCTATGCTCTCTCTCCGAGAGAAATACATTTTGTATTCAGGCTTAGGACATAATCCCTGTAATATCAATAGGCCTATAAGCGTCCTAATTTCGTTGGTATTCGTTTCTTTCCATTGGCGTACTCTAGAGTGCGGTCTTATGTTTTCTCCATTTTTTATAATATATTGGATAGCAAATCGATTGGTTTCTTCAACTATAAGGTTTATTAGACTTTCATCAAAAAAAATTTCAAAAATGTCCAAAGGGTTGCTTTTAGCAGGTACCTGCACGCCACTGTTCGATGTAAAAGGAAATGCTGGTCTGGGGATTCCATTTTGGGTCCAGGGCATTTCAAAGTCAGGTTCGGGCTCAGGCTCCGTCTCATCATTAGTATCTTCTCCACTGTCCTCATATTCCGATTCGCCCTCTGTCTCGTCCGAACTTGTATAACCATCCACCTCGTCCGCCTCGTCGCCACTAATATCAATATCTTCAGAGTCATTGTCTTCTAAATTAGACATTTTGTATATATATTCAAGAACACTTCCTTTTCCTGCACAAACGTAGTGGAATACTAAACGTAATAATTTCGTAATCAGCCACACGGTAACACGCCCAAATAACGACTGAGCGGGAAGAGATTCCACAAAATAATTCCGCCGCATAGTTGGATTAGGATTTTGTTTACCAGTAAACTACAGCAGGCGAACGTATACGTCTTAACCATTGCGGGCTACCAAAAAATAGCCGAAGCGAGAATATCCGTCATAAGCATTGATTGTAATATATGGGTTTGCGGATATATACGTCTTAACCACTTAACAGGTTAATAATTGCTTATCTATGTCTATATTAAAAGGTGATTCTGTATTGAAATGACCAGTAATCACTTCATAGGGTTTAAGATTGGTTACACAATGTATTGTGTTATTATAAGCTAAAATAGCGTAATTTACCTTAGTTTCTATAGGTTCGTTCTTGTACTCTACCTGATTATTCAATAATCTTAAATGTTCTATGAGCGTTGAGTGGAAACGTTCTACGGTTCCGTTAGATTCTGGGTGCTGTGAACTAATAAAATGTATTTTGACTTTATGCAATTCTAAAAGTTCTTTGACTACTGAATTTTTTAATTCTGTGCCATTGTCGAAAATCATTTGATCTGGTATACAGTGATGTGTAAAATATCTTATAAAATTATTTGTTACCTCTACTCCATTGGCAGAGTTCAACATGTAAGCCTGACCGTACTTTGGAAATGAATCGGTCATAGTCAAAAATTTTGCATTTTCTAAAGAAATAGTGTCTACGTATAAAATTTGGAATGGTTTCGTAGGCTTTTCTATATTAGAATGAACGGTGTGTCCTGATGAATCATTTTCATTTTCATCAATTTTATCTAAATCATTGGGTTGAGGTGCGATCGAATAGTTATCGGTCTGATTTGGAATATTGGAAATATTCGATGGATTTTCAAGATTTCTATTAAATTCTTTCATGTATTGTGCCAGTGGAGTCGGTGCTCCTGTTTCATTAACATTTACTTCTATTCTAGATAAAAAGTCCGCATTTGTGTATGATTTGCCTTTCCTGTAAACAATGTCAAAATCATGTTCTTCTAATCTTAAGCGCCATCTTAGTAATTTTGAACTAGCATCTCTAACTGAAAATAACCATTGGAGGCTTTTGTGATCTGTTACAATAGTAAACTTACGTCCGAAAATATAAGGTCTGAAATATTTTACTGCATATACGATGCTTAGAAGTTCTTTTTCTGTCGTGCTATACTTTGTTTCTGAATCACTTAATGTTCGTGAGGCGTACGCTATTGGTAAATCTGAGCCTAATTTACCTTGGGATAATATTGCGCCGATTGCATAATTGCATAATTACTTGCATCCGTAGTTATCAAGAATGGTTTGGAAAAATCCGGATATTGGAGTATCGGATCGTTTGTCAATAAAGTCTTGCATAATTCGAAACATTTAATATAATCTGCGTCATTGGGATTAATAATTGCATCTTTTTTCAATCTGATTGTCAATGGCTTACTGATTTTCGCAAAATCTTTTATAAACTTACGGTAATAACCTAAAAGTCCAAGGAAGCCTTTAATTTGCTTCTTAGTTTTTGGTATTTTAAATTCTGTGATTGCCTTTATCTTATCGGGGTTTGGTTTCACACCATCCGCCGTTACAACATGACCTAAATACGATACTTCTTTTCTAAGAAATTCCGATTTGTCTAACTGTATTTTAAAATTTGACTGACGTAACCTTTCAAAAACTTCTCTAAGTCGAGAAATATGTTCCTGTAAACTAGTACTGAATATTATAATGTCATCTAAATATACTAAGCATTTTTCATTTTGAATACCTCTCAGTATGTTATCCATCACTCGCTGGAAAGTCGCTGGCGCGTTTTTTAGTCCAAATGGCATTCTTGTGAACTCGTAGTGTCCATTTTCTGTATTAAATGCAGTTTTTTCATCTTCTGCCATTTCTATTTGGTGAAAACCTGAACCTAAGTCTAATGTTGAAAAATATTGGCATCGCCCTAATTTATCTAACAAATCTGTTATGTTTGGAAGAGGATAACGATCTCCCAATGTTTTTTCATTCAATTTTCTATAATCAATGACTACTCTCCATTTTTGCTTTCCCGATGCGTCTAATTTTTTTGGAACAATCCATATAGGTGAGCACCACGCTGAATTGCTCTCTCTAATAATTTTTTGATCAAGCATTGATTGTACTTGTCTTTGTACCTCTTTTCGGTGGATTTCAGGATATCTGTATGATTTAGTGTAAATGGGTATTTCATCGCTTGTACGTATATGATGCTTAATTTTGCTCGTAAAAGTTAAGTAATTACCATCTATGTGAAATATGTCTGAATACTCTCTTACTAACTTGGTGATTGCGTCTTTTTCTTCAGAGTTCATATGCTCTGTCCTAATTCTGGAAATATCAAATTTATATTTTTGAAAGTTCAAAGAATTAATATTCGGTGGATCAGAACTTTCTGAAACTTCGTAATTTTCAAAATTTTCTACATCTATTGGTCGAGATATGTCAAGAGAAATCTGTTCTTCAGATAAATTTAATACTGTGCAAATTGCTTCGTGATTTTTCACTGTAGTAAGACATTCAGGGATTTCTAAACATGATAATTTTCTGTATGGAATAATAGCATTACCATTTTTTAAATTTTTTATGTTAACCTTAATTATCTGTTCTGTTCTAGGTGGAACAGTGATAACATTAGAAGAATTTTTTGTAATCTCGTGATATTGCATGGGTATCCTTGTTGTGGGTGTGACTAAAAGATCATGGCTCAAATCAATGTTGGCATTCAATATCTCTTTCAGGTTATCGAGTCCTAAAAGGCATTGGAAATGTTCGTGAAACTTGAATAAATGAAATTTAATGAGAATATTTGGATTCTTAAAAATCTTTGGACAAGGTATTGTCATACTATATTGTTCGATAGATGAACCATGTGCTGAAGTGATTTGAAATGGGTCTTTTTGAATATGTCTTGAAAATAATTTTTTCGCAATTTCAGGGTGTATGAAAGATCTTGTACTTCCAGTGTCAATCAATACTTTGAGATTATACTCCGGAAATACAATGTATGGTAGTTTGCTACATATTCTTCTCTGTAGACTGGTACATAACTTATATATATATTTTGTATGAGTGTTATTTTTTTTGTGGGTTTAGTTGAAAAGCAGCTTAGGCTGAACTAAGCCTTTCATCATTTTATCTTTAATTTTTTTTATCCTCAAGTTATTTATAATGATGAATAAAGACCATTTATTATTATTATTATTATTATTATAACTATCGAAAGGTTAACGAAAAGACCATAGATGATCGCTACCCCATTCCACGTATTTCTGACATTTTAGACAAATTGTCGTTGTAATTATTTCACAACGTTGGATTTGGCTAGCGGCTTCCACCAGATTGAAATAGCCCCAGAAGATATTCACAAAACAGCATTTAGTGTTGACGGAGGTCATTACGAATACCTTCGTATGAGTTTTGGTCTTAAAGGAGCACCAAGCACGTTTCAGCGTGTCATGGACAATGTCTTGCGAGGACTAGATAACACTATGTATGGATGGCATCATAATTTATTCTACTTCTTTACAAGAACACATTGTATCATTGAAAAAGGTTTTCCAAAGATTAAGGGAGACACACCTCAAAGTTCAATTAGACAAATCCGAATTTTTGAAAAAGGAAGCAGCTTTTCTTGGTCACATTGTCAGATCGCAAGGAGTAAAACCAAACCCCGACAAAATTCAAGCCATTCTCAAATATCCATTACCCAGAACCACCCGCGAAATTAAACAGTTTTTAGGTTTGATTGGTTATTATCGTAAGTTCATTAAGGACTGTGCAAAAATCACTCGCCCTTTCACCCTATGTTTGAAAAAAGGAGCAGAAATTGAGCATGACAAAAAATTTCTCGAAACTTTTGAACATTGTAAGAATCTCTTAACGAATGAACCATTATTACAATATCCGGATTTTGAAAAGCCCTTCGTATTGACTACCGACGCAAGTAATTTTGCTATATCAGCTATACTTTCTCAAGGCCCTATTGGCTCTGACAAACCAATAGCTTATGCATTAGAACATTAAATGATTCTGAACAAAATTACAGTGCGACTGGAAAAGAATGTTTAGCAATAGTTTATGGAACTAAGTATTTTAGACATTATCTTTTTAGACGAAAATTAAAAAATATAACAGACTGCAAACCGCTTCAGTGGTTAATGACTTTAAAAGAACCAAATTCTAGATTACAAAGATGGCGCTTAAAATTATCCGAATTTGAGTATGAAGTTATATACAAAAAAGGTAAAGAAAATAAAAATGCTGATGAGGTTTCTCGTATTCATATTCACGCTACCGAAACTAACCCACGACCATCTACATCACAAATTCAAGATACATGAAAACCTCCAATAAAGACTTTTCCAAAAAACCTACAGAGATGAACAAACTATAGAGAATAATGTAGGTGATGAACAAACAGTGCGCAATTTGCTAGACTCGAATGAATGAGTTGAAAATGTAACTATTCACGCAGACGATGAAAGCCCCATTCAAGAAATTAACCCTATCAATGTTTTCAAGTACCAAATTTTTGGTAAAAAAGCTATTATGCCCAGAAAACTCACACTTCAAACATTATGGGATCCGAAGAAATTCTTGTACACATTGTAAATTGTTAATGGTGATTTATAGTAACTCCTATTATACACTTTCTAAAAGACTACGGTGTACCAAAAAGTACTTATGCGTTTTATTTTGAAGATAATCATAACGACGAAATGAATAAAAATCTCGTGAAACTTGTATCTAATACATTCAAAAATTCGGCGTTTAAATTAGTGCAGTAAAAAGCTTGAAAATATTACTGACGTCTTAAGACAAGAGGAAATCATGAGGTATAATCACCAAACCAAAACTAATCACCGAGGAATCATTGAGACAGTAAACCAAATTAAAAGAAAATATTATTGGCCCCACATTGATGATGACGTGAAGTTATACGTCAATACTTGCGATATTTGCCAGCAAGGCAAATATGAAAGACATCCACCTAGAATTGAATTTGAGATTACCCCGACAGCTAAAATGCCATTCCAAATTGTTCACTTAGATGTATATCAATCTAACAATAAGAAATGATTAACAATAATTGACAATCTTTCAAAATATGCGCAAGCCTTCACAATCGAAGCAGCTGATGCTATCTCTGTTGTCGACAATTTGATCAAATTCATGCCATTTCATGGTTTGCCCATCCAAATTGTTGCAGATTCTGGTACTGAGTTCAACAACGCCTTAATAAAAGAGTTTGCAAAACTCCATAAGATGAAGCTACATTTCACAACTTCC